TTAGCCTAGTTATTCTCTTTCTAATTTTTTTATAAAATTTTCATTCTCTTCGTAATTAAATTAATAATTAAAAAATTTTAAACGCTTTTGTTTAAATTATAAATCTTTATAAATGTTTGACTTATTAGATTGTGTTGATGAATCTAATTGCATCTAACATATTTACTCATCTAATAAAAACATTTTATTTATTATTTTAAAAGAGATTTAATAGAAAACAATTTGAATCACTTTTATTTTTTTCATTCTCATATTAAAAATTATAGAATAATTGTTTTATTTAAAAAATACTTAATCTATTCTTTGATCATTTATTCTTTAAACCTTACGCTTGAAAAGGTGTTAGTTTAAGTTCTTCATCTTCATCAATTATCGAATTAAAATGATTATCTTTCAACCGTAAAAAAATAAATGGTGCCTCTTCATACTCCACACCCTTCATATAATAGTTATTTCCATTTGTATTTGGATATCTGTAAAGTTGAGGGTAATCTTTTGATACATTTAATACGATAATATTTATTTTAAATAAATATGAAAAAAATTTTAAATTGCTACAATCCAATCTTGCACAATCATATCCAGAAAAGAACACAGGGTTATAAAATTCATCAGAAATTATACATTCATTTAGACTGTCTTTAAATTCAGTTATATTTTCACTATGATAAACATTAACACTTAGAACAATCAATAATCGTATATGTTGAATAAATATCTCTCTATTCTTTTTAATAACCTGAAAATAACTTTTACAATTTTTACTATTTTTCCATGCATTTTCAACTAACTCTATCCATTCCTTAGCATATTTATTCTTATTACAACCAAAATATTTTAAAAATTTTTCTTTCTGGATTATTTCTTCAAAAAAATTCGAATCTTTTTTTGAATGCTCAAAAATACTATATAATATTGAATGATAACCACAATTATTATTATCCCCGGGTACATTTATTCTTGTTAATTTCTTCCCCTTTTCAAGAATGTTTAAAAAAATATTTTTTGCTAAGTCTTCTATTTTCAACTCTCTAAGTTCTTCTAAGACATTAAAATTTTTATTGATTCTTTCACCCTCATCAATTAAATCTTTTTCATCGCTAAAATTACCCTTTAATTCTAACCAATTTTTAATATGTTCTTGATATTTATCATGTTGTAAAAATGTTTCGAAAATATTTGCATTCTTATCTACATTTAATATTTCATTTGCTCCTGATTTTATTAAAGCTTGAAATAAACTAGGATCAGTTTTATCAAATATTTTTTGATATAAAGATTCTATGTTTTTTTTCTGTTCTAAAGCAGTAGAATTCTTTTTAATTGGACTCTTAGGTATTTTAGGATCTTCAAAAGACCTTGTTATTACTATGATTATACTAGCAATTAATATTATTAGAAAAAAAATAATATAACCAACTCGTTTTTTTGTCAATTTACAGCTAATACTCGAAATATTCTGTTTTTAAAACTACTATTTGAATTCGAATTACATTCTGATTTAATCTTAAATTGATCAGTTTTATCAACTGTTGATGATTTTTTTCTACTCGTATTTTTACTCATTTTAGTATTTCTATGAATGGGAGTAAAAATTTCTTTAAATACCCCTTTAAAATTATTTGACAGATGCTTTTAAATTGTATTTCTTTAGTATTTTAAATTTTAATCCTTAATTTATCACTTATTTATTAAATAAGAACATTTGATTATTCTTTATAAAAATATTTTTATTAAGAAATTTTACAATAAATCAAATTGAAATTTTTTTATAAAAAAATTTCACTTTGATTTATTTTGAAGTTGAATTATATTAAAAAATAATTTTTTAGAAAAAATACTTTGCTTTATCAAAAGTTTAATTTAATGTCGTAAAATCATAAAAACAAAGTTTTTAACTAGTTATTAAAAAGGGGTATTTGTTTGATAAAAAAATTTTTAACCAATGAAAGTTAATGATACTTAGACAGTGAGATATGGATTATATAATAGAAGACGACGATAAAGAGTTAAAAAAATGAACAGTAAATATATACCTGATAGTAATAGATTTAATAAACTTAGTTTTTCATCTTCTACCGATTTCGGTATTTAAATACTCAACAGAGTGTTATAACCTCTATAGTTATTTAATTGTAATTTATTGTCTCTTTCTGAATCTTTATTACTCATATTCGATAGGTAAAATTTTTTATCAAAGTATATAGCCATGAGAATTTCTCTAATTTATTTCTTAAAAGTTTATTATAAAGATGGGTTTACAACAAGAGTCAGTTTTAAATTTACTAAATTTCTGTAATTTTATTATTTAATTGTTGTTTTCATTTAAGAAATATCAAACATGTGATTAAATCATTTTGTAATTTACTGTATTTAAAATAAATTCATGGCTGTAATTTATATCATTTTAAATATAAAAAAACTGACAAAGTAATTTTAAATAATATTTTATAAATATCTTTACATATTACTGGTCATAATTATTTAAAAACCATTAAGGGTTTTAAAAACTTCCATGCTAATTTGTTCTGCTCGTATAGGTAGTTATGTAAATTGATTTTGGAGTTTACTTTAAATTGGTTTATTAATAAACTTAACATCTTTATTTATGATGTTTTTATTTAAAATTTTTTCTTTTATAATTTATTTTATGTTTTAATATAAAATTTATACTCGATGAAACTTTAATAATTAATTTAAAAAACTATAAAATTTATTAAGATGTTTGAATTTTCAAAAAAACTTTTTAATAAAATTTTTTATATCCTCATGGTTGTTAAAGCAGTAATTGATACCGGGTATTTTATACATCAAAAACTTAATTTGGATGAAATAGATGAAGGATATATAACAGATGGTGTATACGAGGAAATTAAAGATAATTTTGCAAGAGAATTCTTTGAGTTCATGGCAGTTAAAATAAAACTTAGAAATCCACAAACAGATTCAATAAACGAAGTAAAAAATATAATAAGTGAAAGACATTTGAATTTAAGTGATACAGATATTGGAGTTGTTGCACTTACAATAGAACTTATAGAAGAAGATTCTATGAAGTGGATCACCAAAGAAAATATTGATAAAATTAATAAAGTACTGTGTTTAACAACTGATAACGGTGTTAAAGCAGCATTAAAGTTAATAGATTTATATGAAG